TGATTTAGGGGCTGATACACTCATACGTATGGTCTCTTACGTGCGTGAAAACGTACAGATTTTACATGTGATCCCCGCAGGCTGATACGCGATTATTGGCTCACAAACGTGAGTGTTTATGCATGTTAGTCCCACATCATAGAAATTAAGGGCGCACAAGAGGAGCACAGAAAAGAGGTTGCGGAACACGAGCGCTGATTGTTTCAAGCCAGCGCCTGTGTGTCTCAGCTCCTCGTCTTTCGTCCTTTGCGCACGCTTTTCGCTCCTATCGTGAGACAGGTATAGACATGACGGCTACGAAAGTGCTAGACGTAATGCATTGCAACGTTGCCCTCCTGGCAGTGTGTAATAATCGAGCTTTACAGAATATTTGTCCACTTCCCGCCCATTTATATATATGTTATTCGCATGACCTGTGTCATAACGAAATCCACCGCGGTTGATCAGTGGCTAGAGTGCTCAGCTGCTGACGATATCGTGGTCTTGGGACGTAAAACATAAGATATTATTATTGAGTCACAACAACGTATACTTCGCACGCTTTAGGCGACATATGTATTTTGTGCTTACCTTACTATAATAATAATATCTAGGGTTTTACGTCACAATACCACGATATGATTATGAGAGACGCCGTAGTGCAGTGCTCCTGAAATTTCGATCATCTGGTGTTCTTTAACGTGCACTAACATAGCACAGCGCATGGGCCTGTGCCACTTCGCCTCCATTGAAATGTGACTGCCACAACCGGGATCGAGCCCTTGACCTTCAGGTCAGCAGCCGGGTACCGTAAACACTGCTCCACTGAGGCAGACTTCTGTGGAATTTAATTTTCGTACTGTCTTTTACACGATACGAAAACAACTGGTGCGCTTATGTCTTATTGCAACTGGTCGTGCAGGCTGTACCGTAGGCGCCTGGACTCACGATACGGCAACTGTTACTGCCTCAACTGTCATGGGCAGGAGCAACACAACGCCTCCATCTTCAACTACCACACCGTTTCGGCACCGAACGCCGGTGAGAGAAATGACTATATGCAATTTGCCACAGCGAACTGTGTGCCGTCAACACTGTGATACTGCACGAAGCTGCTCAAAATATGTATCGATTTGTCGAAGGCCTTCCGATAGTAATGCTCACTTCCAAGATGCCAAAAGACGTCATGGAGGATAGTGTAGAATTGTCATGGTTGTTATACTTGATAAGTTTGACGTTATCAGTCAGTTATTCGGTCAATAAAACATCAATTTCATGAACGAAAACGCGCGTCTACTAGAATTATTCACACCGATAGCCTAAAGTGGCTAGTGGCGGGTTCAGTCTTATGTGTAATGATGAATCAACAGGTCAGCCAAGACTAAAGGAGAAAAAGATCGTATGCGCTTTCATCCAAGTTTAGCTTGGACACTGTTACTTTTACGCTGCGTAACTGTGGCGGTATTTAATATGTGAAGACGTCGGATAGCATTGTATTCCTTTAAAGATAAAGTTTTTTTCACTTCCTAGCGTACGTCGAAACACACGCGAACATGCATGCATATCCCGCCAACTAGTGACCAACGAAAGTATGTTTACAGCTTCAAGAACGTGCAATGAGGTCAATGTTTCACAGCAGAATATCTGCATGGGCGATCGGTGAGTGAGCGGCGTGGCTCATATTCAAAGGGTGGGCCCGGGATGAGAATATACGCTTCGATGCGTATATCTAACGAGAGCAATTGATGAAGCTAACAAAGAAAAGGCGAAAGACTGCTGCAGTGTTAACGCAGGCTACCCACACACCCCAGAAGTAAGGAAAGCATGCCCGTTGCGTCTCATAATGGACGCTTGACGATCGCCACGTAGGTGAAGTCATACAATTAAGCACTCACGAGGACATAACTGACCCATAAATCACCCATAGGTCGAAATTTAGTTGGTGTTGCAGTCTTGCACGAGTCTACAGTAAACACTTAGTCATGAATTTTTTTGCAATAGTGCCATAATAGCGTAGTTACACGCATTTGATGATATTAAAACATCCCTCACTTGTTTTTGCCATTTTCTTTGTTATGCAGCGTTCGCCAACTCGTCTCTCATACTGGGCGAGTGCTGAAATTCACAGAGAGGAGAGGCGATTGTTTCTCGAAATTTGCGGGGTGCCCGCGACTCGTCGCGCTGCTGCGTTTGGCATTGCGGATTGTGACGGCATCAGGAACTTAAATGTAAACGTTTACTTGAAACCTTACAAAATTATCAAAATCAGTTTAGGGGCCCTTAAAGAAAGTGGAGTTTGAAGCACCAGCACAAGCAATATTTATTGTGAAGCCGTATTTGCTGGAAGTGATTGGACAGACAAAAAAAAGTTCGGAAAAGCACATTCACGCCAAGACGACTGTTAGATATTGTTTCAGTGAAGAACAGCAAGTACCCAAAAATATTAAATAAAGCTCTGTGAGTGCAGCCTTACCACCTAAATAAAAAGCATGCACTATTCTGGCACCTTTGGCATTGTCTTTCGCTTGTCTGAATTTAAATTATTCTGAATGTTTAGGGACCGCGCTGACATACGTCTGTCTACCCAGCTCCATCTCTAGATAACTTTGACACGCGGAGATAACAGCGAGATGGAGCTGCCTGCAAACCGTTCAAGTACTTCATTTGAAACTAGAGAGAGACAATTCTGACAGCTGGATTCTTTGTCTGACACCCAGAAGATAATGAAGCCAAAGGACGAGGGAGGTATAGAATACATTAGTAGTACTGTTTAAAGTGTACTGTATTTGTGACACTGATGGAAATGAACTTAATTGGGCGGAAAGACAACTTGCCGTCAGCAAGGATATAACCTGCAACCTTTAGTTTACGCACCCGGTGCTTTTACCAATTGAGCTACGGCGTTGGTCGTTTTGTTCACTTTATGTGGCATTTATGCTCATGCAAACTCTACGAGTCTCGTTCCTGCCATTGGTCAGCAAAAAATTTAGAGCTCACCCAGACTAACTCATGAACCACTCCTCGCCCATAGCGATCACTCGAACTCACACTTACCTCTGTGTTTCTTAACCACCCTCATTCGGACGCAGACTTGTTAAAATTTTAGGGGCGAAGCTTCTTACAGCGGCACCCGTTCGTCTCTCGTAGTCCTAGTAGTAGTCGTAGTGTGTAACAAGTCTTACATTTTGACCACCAAGGCGGTGCCGGTGAGAGATTTCTTCTGTGCGTTGTTGAACAATAAAAAATTCGCAGCGTGCGCGTTAACTAAAAGCCGAAGTCTCCTGTCTCTCATTCCCCATTAGCAGCCATTGACATGTACATTGAGCACTATCTAACAAGAAAGGGTTGCTACGTTATACTCGCTGGGCATAACCGTCTTGGTTTTAGGAAGGTTTAGCGAGCGTTGGGCCATAGTGCCATGGATACAGTGAACTAGTATATACCATGAACTCGAAGTGGTTAGAATGCCCGCTGGATGGCGGTGCATATGCGGAATATATGATGAAAAGATGCGAGATGGTGGTACTAGGAGTGTTGAATAGATGGACGAACGGACAAACAGACAGATGCATGGACGAACTCACGGATGGATGCACCGACGCATGGACGCATGGATGGACGCAGGGGTGGATGCATGGACGAACGCAGGGACGGACACCCAGATAGACATGTGGACGCACGAACAGACGCACGCACGGACGGGCGAATGGACGCGCGGATGGTCACACAGACGGGCGCATAGCCGGACGGATGCTTAGCACCATTCTCCCTCATTCACTCCGTGGATATGTTGCCATTTTTTTTCTCTCTCGAGCTCAGTCGGACTCAAGCTGACGAAAACATTAATCACTTGAACTCACCCGGACTCATATTCATGGCTCTATCTGACTAAGAGTGAGTCAGCTCATGAGTTCGTTAGCGTGCTATTAGCTGTTCATCCGAGGCGTCAATACTTTTCAGCCCCAACATTTCGAATAATCGGGACTTCACTTAATGCTTTGATCTCGTATTTTTAAATACGAGTTATCAGTGGTAGCGCCACTAAGAACATTTTTATTTAAAGGGATGCCTTACACGACATCTTTTTACCAAGCCCTTCCTAAGAAAAAGAGTGGAGAAAAAGTACACCCACCTCACTCCCTGAATAACTCGCACATCTATTCAAACAATATTGAGCTGGTGAATGAACGCTACTTTGTTGACGTTGGAGTAGACGTAATTAGTATAAACGTGACCTGACGTAAGGCTGATAGTGATGCTAAAGCTAAGTAGATAGGACAAGAGGTTAGCAAAACAATGTGAACCTCACTTTGACTCATTCATGAAATATACCTCACCCTTAGGACTCACTCGAACTCGGGCTTCCTTAAATTTCTACAAATGACACTCACTCGGACTCAGGCTGGCTCAATCTGAGTTTGAGTTAGTCCTCTTGATGAGTTCGCCGACCAATGGTTTTGGCAGAATTGATGCATTCAGGTAGTATGCGAGGGCGTATAGGTTAAATGTTTTTGAGTTAATAGTTTACGTATTACGTGATGCCAGCTGGCGAAGAGAAAGTGCTCCACACTCGCTGTCATGGCAGCATGTGTCGCTGACCAACACTTAGAAATACCCTGCAAAGTGGACGTGGGGACGGATACCACCGTAGCTCATCGGGGAAGAGCATCGGACGCGTAATCGGACGGTTGCAGGTTCGGTTCCTGCCAACGCCAAGTTGTATTTTCGTCCACTTTAATTACTTCAATTTTATATCACAATGCCTACAATACACTTAAAACAGCGTAATAACGTCTCTGATACTTTCCTTGGCTTCATTAGGTGCGAGTTTTTATTTGAAACTGGACATTGAGACTGCTTAAAGAGCGAACGCACTTTACTCAACTTACGTCTTTTCTTGCAGCTCATTAGCTGCCCTACCTCCAGCCCATTGTATTGCACGCTAACTGTTACTAAGTTTTCATTTTTGCGCCACGTTATTACCTTAACAAGGAGAAGCAAACACGACGACGCAGGCCTGACACTTACACTGGACGTGCAACCGCAAGAGTACCTGCCGACCAGCACTGCCATGGGTTTTTTGGTTATGGTGCACGGACGTGGCTTCAGGGCTGACGCGTGCGCCGACTCCGTCTTCGCACAGCCTGGTTACATCACATACATCGGCCTGATACAGGTGTGTACTGGCGTACTCTGAACCAGTTAGCATTTCTTATTGGATCACTTGTTAATTATTCGTTCATTAATAATTATTGAATTATTATTATGATGTGAAGCCTTTTGTAGATACGTGGGCCTAGTTTTATTTTAAAGGGAACCTGAATAAAGCGAAAGAAAAACTTACCATATTTCACGTCGTTGATAAAGCAGTGCATGCGTACGAGCCAACTCGTAATAATGATGACGGTGGAGAGGAGGCAATGGCTGATTATTTCTTTACTTGTTGCCAAAAACATATACTATGAGATTTAGTTCGTAAATGCCACATTGGTTGTCACGTCTAAAAACAACTGCAATGGCTTCAGTGGAGCAAGAAAATTCAGAACACAATCCTCGCGGCAAAGAGGTAAGAAAACAAACGATTGCGAGAAAAACCTCCACTAACGCACGCCATCGGTCACTGCCTCCTTGCTTCAGTGCCCGCGTATACAGGCTGTCGATTGAAGTACAGTGACTCCGCTTTTCCCAATAGTAAGACAAACGAAGGCATTACATTATTCCTCTCGTGGTCAGAATCACACTAGCATTTTCAAGAAACCACGTTTAGTTTAGTACAGATGGAGCGGCTTGCTGCATTCTTATTATTGCATTCCGTCATCTAAATGCCGGTTGTCAGAGAGGGCTAAGGTCCTGACGTCGTGCGTCCGCAAGTGAATGACATCATCTCTATCTGAGTCACCATAGCCGCGTGAAGTGCTACCGCAGGGGAGCTAAATGGTCTGCTGACTTGTTTTATGCCTCGTGATGGATGTGCCTTTTGTAGTAAGTGGCCCAACACAGCTTTCCTTCTCCGTCATCATAATTGTGGAGGAACGGTGGGAGAACGATATGACGGAAATATGCAGATGTCCAACAACAAACCAGCCATGTGAAATGTGGAAATTTGGCCATTGTGTGTCAAAACACGCCCACAATACTTTATCACCAAAGTATTGACTTTAAAACTTAACTGAGTTAGATTATCTACCAACATCACCGAGGCAGTGTTAGTGCACATAGGGAATAGCAAGTTCTTGCGCAATCATGTTTTGAACGAAAATAACTGTTGATTACAATACTCCCTCACGCAGCTGTTCTCGACACTATGAGAATAGCATGGTTTTAAGTGTACTGCGCTATGAGTGTACTGCAGCTATAAGTGTACTGCGCTTTGCGTTCCGCAGAACGCGGAACGTAAAGTAGGGAACGGAATTCAGGAATGCATGCATTGTAATTCATTCACCCTTGTGCTAATCATTGGCTCGGTCACGCAGCAAGACGACGCAAAACGGACGACTGAACTAGAGCATATTAATGGCGCTCTGCATATTACATAGCTGAGTTCATTCCGCAGATGTGAAATTTGACGATAAGAATGCATGATCTATGCAACTACCTACGCGCACAAAATTAAATCATCGTCATTCATCATGATCATGATAACCTATAAAATCTCGACGAATGCCTCTTTCTTGTCTTAAACATGAATACTGGGCCTCTCGCCGTGCTCATCAAAACAGTGGAAAGCACGGAACTGCTCACACTTATAAATCGAATCTATTAGTCTTGTCAGCAGGCTGATCTTTTACTCGACATAGTGTGTGTTGTGCTGATAAATACTGATTTCTTCTTTTTTTATGTCTAAAATTAGCTGTCTATACTGTACATTCATCGCGTGGGGCAGCTGTTAGAAGGCCTGCATCTTATTATTTTTTAAATATATTTCTACTCAAACTCTGCTAAGACCTTTCTTTTCCCTCCTCCCCCCACCATGCATAATAACAACTGGCAAATATACGTTGCCTGAACACTCTCCATACAACGAAGACGTTTCCCTCTTTCTCACCAGTGTACAACACTGGTGGAGAATATTCAAAAAGCTTATTATTACGGGCCTGGTAGCCAGCAGTGCTAGTGGTGTGAATTACACTAGAGAAGTGAGTTGGGCTAGCTAGTGCGTACTGAGTACAGGCACAACTAATTAGCGCAAAACTTTATTGCTGCAAGACTCGAAGGCTATTCACGGCAATTGCATTTTTGACGGTCTTTGAGGGGGCTGAACAATATTGTTGAGGATTGTTTTTTTTGCACTATGGGGACAATATGCCCAGCAGATTTTACAGTGATTAAAGCTAGTGTAACTATAGCGGAATCGTAAGCAACCATATACTGGTATCTCACTTGTGAACCTTAGCCTACAAGAACTTGGTCTGAAAGCTTCGAGGACACTATTCACGAGAATATCCTTGATTTCATAAACCCATTGCATTAAAATGAAAGAAAAATCATCCACATATCTAAACAATTTTGCAAGAAATGTTTTGTCAACGCACGCGTGTATTGCCAAAGTAGGAAAAAATCAATGGCTTAAAAGCGGCGCGAAGTGTGAAACAATACACCTTTTTAACAGAGCCTGGTATCGCCATCAGAATAAAAAGTGTAAGGGAAAGAGAAAATCTAAACATTTTCATGACATTGCCGTTAGAGATCCACGAAATGCTCTGAAAGGCAATGTGACCAGAATTTTTTACGCATTGCCTAAACCCACTGCGTCTATTCGCTTAAGGCCACATAGCGGGTGCATAGCACGTTCGAAAAGATTTCGTGCACCAAGTGTTTGGCATATATGCACTAGGGACAGGACGTCGCTATCGTGTTCAACTCTCGAAGCTTAAGGATCCCCCAATTTCTGACGCTTGAGGATATGCTGGGCAGGCTACAGTGTCAGCCTTTTTGACACCAGTTCCGATCAAAGCAAGAAAGATTCCTTGGGAACTTCGAAGCATCATTTAAGCATAATATGAATTTTCGGAGGGCCTTAATGATGTTCGTGTGGTGAAGAGTAGACTGTATGACCACCTGCTGCTTCCACTCAGCACCAGTCTGCGATTTTTCTCACTCTGACTGCTTATTTAAGCAGTGAAGCTGTTTAAAACTAGACGTGATTGGCAAGCGCATCTTATCAGACAACTGTAATCATGATAAATTAGTATTTGCGACAAAAATAGGGTAAGTCCCGCTACTCAACACTGGTCCAGCAAAAATGAAGAAGGCGACTGTTCGAGTGACAAATCACAAATGGGTATATGCCATAGAAATAGGGTAAATACCACAAAGCAAAACTTCCATCTAAAACAAAGAAGGCAGCACTTCACCCAAGAAATGATGGCGGAATGATGGCGACGAGCTGAAGACCGCGAGTACGTACAACGAGAGTACGCTAGGCAGCGGGAAAGGCAACGGCTACTGATGTGTACGGATAGCTTTTCGTTTGACAACGCTTGCCGCAGCTGTGAAGCTAGCGGACTCAGGAGATGTGGTGGACTTTCCTCCGTAGGTGACGCCGACGAGCTGCGTCCGGTGGACTGCATCTTTGCTTGTAGGTGAAGTGAAAAAGAGCGACAGAAGCCAGAAAATCACAAAACCTGAGAGACCACCAAACAAATTTTTCCATCATGCAAAAGCTGAATAAATAAAACCACCAAAAGATGAAATAGTGATGGCTAATTTTTAGTTAACCAGAATCGTATACAAATGTTTCGTTAGAGGACTGAATGCTGGGGAGTAATCAAACGAGCGTGTCTTACCTCTTTAGCCTTGGCCATCCTAGAATAGAAAGTTGTCGCCGAGTATAAGCGCCCGTAGATGTATGGTAGCACGCTTGGTTTGAGCGCAGGCTTCTGTCTCCAGAGATCGGAGATCTGTGGTGTCTCTGAGACTATGTGCGGTTTGTTTAACAAGAATTTCTTTTCGTTGAGAATTAACGTAGGGAACAGACTTAACATCACCTATAGCTCAGGCCCAGCAATAACCTAGGGGCAACCTAAAAACGATCAGCAGCCCCCCAGCTAAGGTTTACCTAGAAGAAACCAGATTAGTCTTCGCAATGGCCCAGTTTTGCAGCTGCAAGCCGCGGCTTAGTTCACACCTCGTCAATTTCTTTTCTGCCTATTTTTACATTTTCTCGTATTTTGTGAACATACCCGCCTTTCTCTTCTCTCCCTCTCTCTTTCAGCGAAGGCGCGCAGCTCTTCCAGAGCCATATCAGCCTCCATGCAGAGACACCTGGCCCAGCAGACTCAAGTACTATCTGCAAAACACCACGCGCTACACTCGCGAAGTACGCACTGCTTTTTAAACCTCGTGTATTTACGCACTGTATCGAAAGTTTTTTTCCGGTGCAAGTTACTTTCAAGTTATTTGAACATAAACAAAATTATCACCACCATAGCGGCCTTATGGCTCTGCAAATATGACGTTAACCAAATACTGGGGCAGCAGGTTTGACATATGGCCTTGTCAGGCACCTTGCAAACATGGTGGAAGAGAAAAGACCAGAGTCTGACACATTCACGTCTTTGCCGTGTCGAGCACGTCCTGGATAGCTAATGTATTGGAATAGGCGCCGCTCTCCCCGCCTTCACGTCTCCGCAGGAAGCTCATGATACACGCCAAGGAGCAGATATAAGTAAACCGAGCAGATATAAGTAAACTATATGAACAGCTTTGCTGACATGAAACGTCAAGCTGTGTTGAAGACCCATGGCAAAGTTTCCATCATTCACAAAGAATGGTGCTGTATTGAAGGCGACGACGGCTTATGATAAAAGCAACCAGATTAGGTCGACGATCGCAGTGAGTACTCGCTGCGATCGTTAGGCATTTTTGTTTAGAGAGAGTGCTTAGTCAATGTATTTAGCCCTTCTAGGTTAACTGCTCACTAAACTTCCCTTAGAATACATCCATCTTGTTTATGTTTTTATTGTCTCGACTAATTAGCACAAAGTTGATTATTTAGGGCAAAATAACAGTGTTCAGGGAGTCACGAGAATTCTTTAACTGAAAGTTCCTGTTGTCTATGCAGGCCCATGCAAGAACCATACATGAGATAAAAAGCTCCTGAAAATGTGCAGCCAACATTTATGCGAGTGGTTTTGTATTCCTAAAATAAGCAAATTAAGAAGAGAAGAACATTTGTAGGGGCGTTGGTTCAAGCGACACACCGTCCTTTTCAAGTATTTATATTCTGCTCAGCTTCTACCATGTTAAGAATGAATGAAGGCAGGGTAAATTTAGGGGCTCGTTTTGTTTGTTAGACACAATATTGATGAAATATAACTGACAGTGATGCCAAAAGAAGTATATGGGATGTTATTAGAAACAATTGTAATGTAAATCTGAAGAAAGAAAAGTGGACGCAAAGATAACCTGCACCCGTCAAGATCCGAACCGGCGACCTTCGAATAACGCATTCGATGCTATAGATATCACTGAGCTACGGTGTAATATAGTATATTTTTCAGAGCACACATGTGTGGCACACCATGGCCTCCGAGATTGCGCGCCAGCTTGGAGGCATGGTCATGCACGCTCAAGAGAAACGATAGTTATAGCGCGAGAACAAAATGACGACACAGAGACGAGAAGGTCACGAAGGACACGAGCGCTATGGACATAGCGCTCACATAGCGCTCGTGTCTTTCATGTCCTTCTTGTCTCTGTGTCGTCATTTTGTTCTCGCGCTATAACTATCGTCATGCCACACCAACTAGCTCAAGCTGCCACACTTCAAGAGAAACGCTTCGGCTGGTGATGAACATGGCGTAACGTATACCTCGGCGGCGGCAGTTTTCTTTATAAATGACTTTTTTTCCGACATACAGTCACCTACATTCCAGATAGTTAATTGCAAGCCTTTTCGCGATGTACGAGAGCTTTCTGAAACCTTTGAATGCTCTATATTAGATTATAGTTTGTCCAGAAAATAGTTATTGCCTACATACGGCTTACACACTTACGTTACTTGGCTATGTTGCTTGCCTATGTTGCTTGCCTTTGTTGCTTGCCTATGTTGCTTGTAGCGTACTCGTGTCTTGTGTGTTTTTAATTTTTTCAAACATAGGACTGCTTGAAAATATGCCACCAAGAAATGATCCGGTCCAGATGCAAGTGCGAGTCCCAGAATTTGCCCTTCTCTTCACGCGAGGACCGTTTGAAGACGCCTGTGTGTGGAGGTTGGTTAGTGTCTGCAGATAATATGTACTAATATATCTGGTGCTTTACGGCTTAACTACGATGTGATTACGAAGCACGCTGCAGTGAAAGTATTTGGAAACTTCGAATGTCTGGTGTTCTATAACGTGCACTGACCTTGCGTAGTACACAGTCATCTAGCATTTCACTTCCTCTGAAATTCGACCATCGCTGCCGGTGTCGAACCAGCGACCTTCGGATGGGCACCTGAGCTTCGCAACTATTGTACTGCTGTGGCGCACATAGCAAGTGGGGTGGGAACATGTCAGAGGGGTGATGATGTTATACAGCGTGGAATATTACTTTTCATTTTCTACGCGCTATCGAGTTACATTGTTTCAAAATTTTGTATATAATACACATGAAACCGTACATGCTTCTACCATGGGCGGCACCGGGCTAGAGGTGCCGACCACGTACCTAGCGGTTTTTCATAATGGTTCGAGGGACACACAGACTCGGTGCTCTGCTGTATTCACCTGCTCTACAGGTGCCCCCGTAGGTGGAGGTCTCTTGGCATTGATTAACTTCTCGCTCTGTTGGCGAGCACGTGGTGTTGCTGTGAGGTGCATAGTTGTCGGTTATCCTGGCGGCAAAATAGATGAAAGCGCGCTTCCGGCCAGGTGCTCGGCAGAACCTAGGTCATGTTGCTTGGGAGGTCACCTCAATAGTGGAAAATTGGGGGCAGGAAACTGCCATGCCTGAAACAGAGGCCGCTTTTATTTTTTAAGTATTCTGGTATATGCGTATAGCTTCATATATTTATATCCATGAGGCGCAAATCACGACGTAGTGTCTGCGAATAATTCAAACCCGCACAATATCCTGAAACACTCAATATTTTATTCTAAGATACAAAAGGAAGTGATGCGTTTCTTTTGTGAGAATTGCAGTAATTCATTGGGATTAGCGTGTAAATAATATTATTCTGCAGTGATAAACCAACTGCAAATTGTAACGAGCTGCCAAACATTGTAGTGCCTTCATCGAAGCAATCGGCAACAATTAACGCAGTACATTGAGGTAAAGTACAGACACACACGATTGCGCAGAAGGTTCGGTTGATCCTATGTGAATTGGAGCTGGTCATTTCTTAGCCGCAGGCCCAAAAAAAAAGGAGAAAAGAGAACAAGATAGAATAATTGAAATTGTTGGGGTTTAACGTCTTAGAGACACCGTAGTGGAGGGCTCCGGAAGTTTCGACCACCTCGAGTTCTTTAACGAGTGCCTCAATCTAAGCACATATGGGCCTCAAGCATTTTCGCCTCCGTCGAAAATGCGGCCGCCGTGGCCGGGATTCGACAACGTGACCTGCGGGCCAGCAGCCGAGTGCCTTAACTACTTGACCACCGTGGCGGGCGAAGAACAAGAAGAGAGAAGGCAGGGAGGTTAACCAGGCAGATGCCCGGTTTGCTACCCTACGTTGTGGGAATGGGAAAGGGGAGAATAATGATGATAGATATGGGAAAGATAGCGGACAAAAACACGTTGTGTCCTCGTATATGGACAGTGGACATGGTGCCTCAAGGGGATGCAAAGTTCAGTAATAGCTTGCCTTACGACGTCAATCTTGCTGATACGGCATAATAACCAACAATAGGCGTCTCGAGAACTCCATATAGTGAAAGCTTAAGTACTTCCCGACAAGTGTTCTTATCAATTTAATTATATTTGCCAGCCTGCTGATGGCTAGCCTGTCGCATGAGCAAATTTATCGAATTTCAACGCAGAAAAACACTGGGACTGTGTTCGCCAAGTTCGTGCTATCATGGACCTGCCGTACGTGCAGCGATACTGCCGCTGTTTCCGGTCCTGCGTGTGAGTATTTCTCGGCCGTCCATATTGTGGCGACTCGTTTGATGAAATCAAGGCCGGTCGACATTAAACATCCGCTTTAATAAACAGCCGGTGACTCTATGTTCAACAGCTGCATCACCGAATCGCAGCATTGAAATACGAAGAATGAATACAACACTTCACGAATAGAATAGGGATGTTATATTTATCTAAATATGTAAGCATCAGAATCTCCTCTTGTTGTATCGTGAAAGTAGCCTGATTGTTCTTGTTATCTGTACTCATTGTGGCATTTCCCACTCTGGTGGAATACTTATAGTGTGTCGTCACAATTTCGGCTCGCTATTTTCCCGAACCGCCTAGGTTGCTAGTGGCTATGTATGTATGTATAGAAGGGACGGCAGTGAGCGCGCCGAATGGAGGTAGAAGAGGACAATGACAATCGCGGGCGCGCAGTGGTACGCGGCAGACACTGGCTGCGAGCAGTTGCGGCCGAGGCTTAGAGAAATAAACAAGGATCCCGGTCTGGCACCGTGTCATCCCTGCGTGGTTCTAGGCCGAGAAGCCCCTACAAACGCTATCGATTGCCTCACAAATAAATGAATGAATCACATGTAACGAATGGTTTTATAAAATTAACAAATTGGTTGGTGTATTTTATTAAAGTTGTTGCAAGTGACGATTTTTTGCAGGGTTTCTCATTGTTTCATCCCAATGACTTGAGGGCTTGAAAATTCTGCGGCTCAAAACGTTTCCAATCGCTTTTCTCAGTAATTCCAGAATGACATCATTATAGGAGTTTACTGTCTGATAAATCAAGTACATCAATGTTTCCGGACACCATAGTCCACTCATGTTACAGTGTTGCCGAACACAATTCACAGCAGAATAATTGCGCTTCACAGCGCATGCTCAAGCTTATTACGTGCGCTGACGTAACTTCCGTCACCCCGTATCATCCCTCGCCGTGTATACTTCCAATACACTTGTCGGGACGAGAGAGGAGAGAAACCTCTTGATGTATGTAACTGCGCTCTTTCTCGACGAATTGGAGAAGTTTTTGCGGCAATATATTTGTAAGGCAATAAATTCTGTGGCTAAGGACGTTCAATCGTTACTTAGAAAATAGATTCAGGACTCCTTTAAGACTTACTCAACTTCACTGTTGACGACTAGTTTTAAAGTACACATCGATCACTGACTTATGTGCTTTCGTTTTTCCACGCAGGGATGTCGACCATTACAAGGAACTCTCCTTCGCAGCCATCCCTCAGGTAAATATAACAAAAAGGTAACTCTATCGCATGGGTTACAGAAACTCGCAACACAATTATTTGGGCTTTCTGAACAGACCGCATGCACCGAGGTCCTTGAAACCGCCACACGGAACAAGTAAACTTTGTGACGTCGCGTGTTAATGTTATCATTGGATCACTGGCAAGTCTTCTCGCCATCGACGCACAGAAGCCTATGAAAGTCTGGCCGTAGCGCTATTCGTTGAAGCACCTTAAGTGCGACACGATTGCGCTGCATTTACGCCATCAAGGCCGCCAAATTGGTGAACCAGTACGCTATCAAGCTGCGACCATGACGTCACGTGCAAACTATCTATGAAAACATTGTTGCACATGATCTGTTAGTACCAGCACGTGCCATTTAATCTTTAGAGCTTCAAAGTAGCATAGTAAACCAATAAAGTGAAATCTCACGCAAGTGTCTATGGGAGCAGCTATGTGTGCGTTTCAGAAAACATGGGAATTACAGTGAGCCAGAAGCAGCCGAAACAACCAGGATGATATCGTAAGAAGAAATGATAGCCCAGAGGAATTCGACATCCCACCAGTAACGACAGGGAAAATAAGGAAAGTCGTAGAAAAAATGCAAAGAGGCTAAGCCACTGGTGAGGATAAGGTAACAACAGACCTGCTGAAAGTTGGCGGAGAAATTGTGTTAGAAAAACTAGCAACCTTATATACGAAGTGTCTCTTGACGGGAAGAGTACCAGAGTCTCGGAAGAACGCCAACGTTCTTTGAATTCCTAAAGAAAGAGACATCGAGGACTTGAAAAATTACAGGCCGATCAGCTTACTGTCCGTTCTCTACAAACTATTTACAAAAATAATAGCTATAATAAAATTAAGGAGACGTTAAAGTTAAATCAACCAGCCGAACAAGCAGAATTTCTTACAGGCTACTGCACAATAGGCCATATTCACTTTATTAATTAGGTAATAGAGAAATGCGCGACATACTACCAAATCCTTTACATAGCTTTCATATATTACAAGAAGGCGTTTGACTCAGTCGAAACATAAGCAAGCGCTGCGGAATCAGGGCATCGACGAATCCTACATAAAAATACTGGAAGAACTCTACAGTGGATTAAGAGCCACCATAGTTCCCCATAAAGAAAGCGGCAGAATCCCAATAAAGAAGGGTGTAGTGCAGGGAGACATGATCTCTGCAATGCTATTCACCGCGTGTTTAAAGGAGGTTATCAAGACCATAGATTGAGAAGAGTTAAAGATAAAAGTTAAAGGAGAGTATTTTAGCAACCTGGTATTCGCTGAAGACATTGCCTTGACGATTAACTCACGAGACAAATTACAGCTCATGATTACTGACCAGGACACGGAAAGTACTATAGGTCTGAAAATTACTATGCACAAATATAAAAATAATGTGCAACAGTCCTTGCAGCAAAGATCACTTTGCGATAGGTGGAGATAAGTTGTAAAGGAATACGGCTACTTAGGACAACTAGTCGTTCAGCTTGGGAGCCGAAAAACGAGGCGGACATCTTGCAAGCGGAAACCAAAAAACTTTATTCGCTCTCCCCAAGTGCGATATATACGCTTGGTGGACTGGAGTACCTTCTTGTAGCCACGTGCTATACAAGGAACACTGACAGTTCCCTCTACATCCCACCTTTTGACATTTCATGGGGCAGGTCCTTAGAAGTTCAAACGTCGGGGCAACCTCACTATACGACCACTGCGAGTCCGCGTCACAGTTTTCCATGGCGTTACTTCTGGTAGCACGGGTTCTTGCGGAGCTTAAGGTTGCAAGTTCTCGGGAGGGGTTGGCGGAAAAGCTGCTAGTTGGGCTGGACTCGTTTCTGTCGAATGAGGCACCAGGTGTCGACGATTACGCTGAAGAACGCCCCCGGTCGTCTGAACAAGGCAGGACCGTGGACGCTGCGCCAGGGAAACCATCAATTGCAGGCAGCCTAAGTAGGTGTGTACGCTGACGGTCAACCACATGCAATGTCAGCACTGTGGCTCTGTCGCGCCACTGCAAAGTTGCTTTGAAGGTACCGAACGTGAAAAGTCTGTTCACCAGGGCCTAAGACTTCCCATTCGACGGAATCTAGCGCCCGCGGTCGACCTGGGAAAGACAGCGAGACCACAGACACTTCTGCGCCATGGTATATATTAAACTCGGCCGTTTGCTCGTTAACAAGTGTTTCCGTGGACCTTGCTCGGCCTGAATCCACGTTGTGAAGTTCGATAAATCCGAGCAAGTAATTTCTGCTCTTCTTCATACAAACTTCAGCGAATTACCCTACCTTTCTGCAATAGTAGCACACCGATGTTTGAGTCGGGTAGTCTTTGCGAGGGTGTCGCCGACGCTCACAAAAGCGACATGATAACGCAGCCGAGTGTTCAGATTGCTAGCGAGAACAGTACGAAGGGGTGGGTGTAT